TTCTACTCTCAATCACTTTTTCCCAGACTTTCATGGTATGTGACATGAGCTTTATTCCTGGATAGTTGTTGCATTCCTGAACTTCCCCTTTATTTTTGAAAATAGGGTTTTCTACCACCTTTACCTTAAAGTTACTTGCATACTGTTCTTTCTCTAACATTCACCACCTGATTCTTAGAGTAGGTCGGTTCTTCCTACTCTTACTACTACTACTCAAAACCTTCCATTTGACCTCTATTACCAGCAATCGATGTTGGGGCACTACGGGTTCCCCGGACACCACTTTGCAGTCACTGACACAAACCAATTTACTTCTTTTTATAAGAAAGTAGTCAATATGTGTCGCGTGGCTACCAGTCTATACGTGATCAGATGATCGTTACGTTTTTGGAACCATGTGTTAATTACTGCTAGGTCAAACGAAGAAGAAAACTGGAGTAGGAATTACCCATCATTGTTTCTACTTCCGAACCCCCTTCCTCCATGCACTCTTTTATAATCTTCATTTGTTGTTGCCACATGTCCATTAAAATTTCCACCTATCAAAAGTTCTTCACTTTCAGGTATACCTATCATAAACATATCAAAATCGTTCCAAAATTTTTCTTTCACTTTATCCTTGCATCCAGCTTGAGGTGCATACACGCTAACAATATTCATCATCACGCTCTCCTATACTAATTTTAGTACCACTATTCTACCGTTCACTCTCTTTACATCCGTGTTACGGATGTAAAGAGAGTGAACGCTCTCGCGCACTCTTTCAGGGCACTATCCAATACTACACCCACTCCATTTCTCTTCCCATCACTTCCACAATAATAGAACTTGTACCCCTCTTCTATCTCTCTTGCTTTCGTACTATTGTAACTATTCCATATTGTTTCCTGCAAGCATGCCGCGTTTATTCTTCTTCTTTTCAACACATCTGCTAGCTCTCTCGCTCTTCCAGTCATAGTTCCAACATTCCAACTTGCATACCTCAACCTAACGTCTCGGGCTTGCTTCTTACTTTGCTTTGGTGGTGCAACAACCCTTGTCCACTTTTTCGCGTAGCCGGGTGCTGTAGGCGCGCGTCGCCTACGGGGTACGGCCTAGCACTGTCGCACTCACTTTGTATCATGCTCATACAGCAGAAATGTTTTGGCTAATTAATTTTATGGCCGGCCGCCTGCCTGTCGCCAACCCTCCTTAGGAAAGTTGTCGTGTATAGGGTAGGGAAGGAAAAAAAGGAGACTTTGGGGGTGGGAGCGTTGGATGAGATAGGGAAATTAGTGTGGCCCCCCCCACCCTAATGCTTTCCTTCCTAATACGTTCCGCAGTACTCGTATGGGAGACAGGACTGAGACTGCGGCGTGTACCAATATCCAGCGGTTGGAGAGGCCATTAGGACAAGTAGAGCACGGACTGTACGAGTATATTTACAATCTGATGACAAACAGTCCAATAAATCAATTAGTCGCCTTTTACGACACCAACGGGAAGGAAAATCGATTATCGACAAAACGTTCCATAATATAATAATGCCATCACGCATCCCTAGTCAGTTATACGTGATGGCGAATCTGAGATTACGTACTTAGTCAAATAAAACCTTCAAGAATATCTTATCTCTTATAAGACTTATACGACGCATGGTGGTGTGGTGTGGTGTAGTGATAAATAATAGTTTTTTTTATTAACTTTACTGTGAGTAAAGTTTTTAAGTAAATATGTTTCTGCCATTGTTCTTTAGTCGTTAATTATTCGCAAGTTTTCGCACGTTTCTTTTTGGCACTTATTTACTCGGGTCTTACTTTAGAAGATATTTCAATTTTTAAGGTTGATATAGTCTAAGAGCTAGATCGACGAGTTTACGAAAAACTGCTAAGAAAATATTTCTATTAGTAAGTTTGTGTAATGTAGTTCTACTTAACTTCCTTTTGATTCTATGATAAGAAAATATAGTTTTAATTAAATTTTCAAAAAAAAAAAGCATCTAGGTGCTAATTTCTGGGATAAAAAGTATCCTATGTCCTTTCCCGGAACTTGAACTATCTCATCATCTAAATCAGTTCAGCGGTTTAAGCGTGAAGAGGTAACAGACAGACAGACAGGCAGATACACTTTCGCATTTATAATATTAGTACTAGAACAGGATTACGGCAAACCAAAGCATTAGTTACTCACACAATATAAACACAACTAAGTCTATATTAAAAAAAAGATTCCCACACATTATTATCCAACAACACCGATCCCTTTTACACACATACTTATTCATAGTCACACTATACTGGAATACCGTGAACAAGCCATCAGCGGAACACTGTATGGAGATAGCACGGATGGCGTAATGGTTTAAGCGGTCGCCACGCCGCTTCCTACTACGCCGACTGTTGTGGGCTCCAATCCACAACACTCGGCGTAGTAGGGACGACACTTTGTTTGATCCACAAATTGTTGTTCTGAGTCTGGGTGTTCTTAGTGTCCGTTTCATGTATGTTTGTAAAGTCCCCGTCCAAGTCGACACAGGATATATTCCTAATACGGGATTGTCTTTAAAAAAAAACTGTCTTCCAAGTTACAGGAATACATAGTTTGGAAGGCAGGGTCTACTTTGTACACCTAAAACAGTCATAAGCATTTATTGGATTGTATAATAATCGTAATAAAGGATTTGAAGTTTAAAAAAGTTATTATTCTTACCTAAAAACTGTATGTTATGCTAGATTATTTTATGTTAGAGTTTATTAAACACACTAAACATATAATTTCAAACCTACCCAAAGACTTCTTCTGTTTATGTTGTCTTTAGAAATATATAAAACGCACGCACATTTATTCCAAACCGTTATTACTTGAGTTCCTAGTACTACTTATTCATAATATGTTCTACTGTTAACTGTGGCCTGGGGCTGACTTTATCTTACGTCACGGGAAACTCGCTCATCAAGTAGCTCACCTGTACTCGTGCATCTATCTCTTTTTTACTTTCCTTAAATAAAAGGGAGCGCAGTTGACATCTGCCAGCGACTAAGGGCATATTTTACTCTTTTTACGATTTTACTTATTGGGGTTCGAACTATAATAATAATAATATATATATATATACGATAATTTTAAAGTAATAAATAATTTTATATTTGAAAACAGAAGTTTGTATTATTCTAACCTTAATAAAAGCCAAATGCTCATAATATTATAAGGTATTTAAGTAGGTATATTATCTCTGATTTAAGATTAGGTAAGGGTAGGTGGTTTTTGTGTAACGTATATATTTCAATAGATTGATACTTATATACTTTACACTAAGCATTTTAAACAAGTAACTAAAGGTACAATAATTTTATATAATATGTACATATTATATTCTTATTTCGGCAACAAAGTTTTATTATTCTAAGTTATAGTTTTGGTTTGTGTATTTTGTTGTTACCCTTATTTTTTATGTAATAAATAAATTTATATACTCTAACGTAGTAATTTAAAACATAAAAATATGTATTTAATTAAGAAATTATCTCTCTCTGACATTTCTAAGGACCTAAAACTAGAAGTAGGTACGCGTACACAGTAATATAATTTTTCGTAAACTCAGCGACTATACCTACCTTAGGTAAAAATTGAGGTCATTATATCTCCTAAACCAAGACCCGACATATTCTGATATTTGGCGACAAATTTCGACAAATAAGCGACTAAATTTTTGTGTTATCAAAATTAAAATCCATGGTAGTGGCCATGCCAGGGTCAGTGACAGGGTCCGATCCTGGCGGCCGCTTTGACCATGCATTTTAAACTTCTACTATCTTCTAAAATATTATTTTAATGATAGTAGTTTAGTCGTATCCCTACGTCTGTCCACAATATATCTCACAGACTATATATCGCATGAATATATGTAAAATCATGAAAAATATTTTTTTCGATAGGTGAGGTTGGATGTTATTTCTTATATTCATCCATCCCATGATGGGGGGTGTCATTGCATAGGTCTTTTAAAAATTTTGATTAAGGTTGCTGAGATATTAAGCTTTAAAAATATTGTATTTAAAAAAACGGTAAAAACTTAGTGACGAATATGAGAAATTGAAAGTAATCATTGAAATAACAAATATCTTAAAAAATATTTAATTGTTTAGAGATCTTTTCTGGTATTGTCTACAAAATATTCATATAAATCATTACTAATACCTATCTTTGTAAAAACTTACGTACTATACATATGTACAAAGCTAGTTATCTATTCTCAGTCAGTTTTGTCCTAATTCTAAATACAATCATTAATGCCAGTTTGAATTTCAAGTAGTTGCGAGTTTCAATTTCGACTTAGTGGTTCCATCCTGTAAGACAACAGACGATTGGTAACAGGCATAACAGTTCTTATTTTTACATAATGATGTATTGTATCTAGGTGTAGCTGGTAACTAACTAACTACGGGGATGCTTCTAAAGTGCAAAGATGACTTGCCAACTATCTCTATGTTTGAGTTGAGATCGAACAAAATTTTTCAATCTATGCAATTTAATAATTGCATTATCTAAAATAATGGGTTCTAACAAAATGTGTCTATACGGACACCATGCGCGCTCCGTAAGGGTAGAAGGCTTTCACTAGGAAACTTATCGATTACATAACATCACACATCACATCGACAGCCTTTAATAGTCCACCGCTAGATATAGGCCTCTCCTTAGAAAGGAGGTTTACATACACGGGTAAAAACAATTATCGGAGACAGTTTGAATAGACCAGAGCCCGGCAGGCCGGACAGGTCGGTCTTCGATCCATTTTAGTCACGACATCGATGTGATACAGTCCAAGCGCTAACAGTTTTAGTGTTACCGTCACTCAAATAGGGAAGTGTTCTTCAGTCCTCGTCAGAGGCGATAGAGGAGTTATCTGAACGCGAAATCTGAACGTTTTGCGCACTTAACGCGCTTTGCACGTTATTCGCGCCCTGCGCGTAGTACAGCCAGGCGCGGTAGTAGCGGCGCGCGGTGCGCCGGCGGCGGGCTCAGGACGCGGCGCCCTTGCGCTCGTCGTCGTCGCCGTCGCTGCTGGACTCGCTGCCGGCTCCCTGTGCCCACAGGCTAGCGTACGTTTGCTGTTCGGCGATGAGCGCTTCCTCCGCCTCGATCACCGCGTTGAACAGCGTCCGCTTGATTTTGATTTGCGTGGGAAACGGAAAGCGCTTGGTGGACTGGCACATGCTGTTGAAGAAGATGTCCAGCGGGTCGGGCTGCGGTGGCGTCGGCGGCGCCGCATCGCGCTTGCGCTCGTGCTGCGGCTCGGGTTCGCGCTCGGGGCAGTGCCGTTTAGCGGTCGCCTTGCACAAGTAGTCCAGCTTGCGGTCTATGACGGTCAGCTGTTCGCAGCTCTTGCGCTTGGGCGAGGAGTCGTCGTCGCTGTCATCGCTATCGGACGAATGCTGGTCGACACCGTTCTGAGCGGGGTGTGCGGGCACGTCGGGGGCGGGGTGAGAGGGGTACGGCGGCGAGCCCGTCGGCTTCTTGCGATTGCTCATGTAGGGCTGCAGGAACTGCATCAGCCCCATGTACTTCCAGGGGTAGTTCTTCTTGGCGGGGTTGCCGGGCTCCTTGGCCAGCATTTCGCTCTGCCGCTTGAGAGCATCGCGGTAACTGTCGCGCAGCTTCTTCCACTTTAGTTTCACTTCTTTTACTGTAACAATTATTAAAAACAGTTAAATCAAAATCATTATTTTCGTTCGCTAAGACATGTGTAATTCAGTTTTTTATCTGATTTCGAATGATTGTTGTTACACTTTTTTTTTGCAAATACATTTACTATACCATATTCAAAACGTTTTTCACACCGATTTGTTCTTTTACGATAGATGGCGTCGGCATATCCTGTGACTAGCCTTGAGAAGAATCGTCACTACATACTCAAGGAGTCAAGGAGCCAAGTGTATCTACATAAACTCACTGCGCAAGTGTCACGGAGGCGTCACACTTGCGCAGTTTTAACCTTACTAATCACGCCACCCAATAGACTAGATCAGTCCACGTGACCACGGAACTTGACCACATGTCATCTTAGGACCCCGAACGGTCCGCCACCAGTCACCACAGTCAGCCAGACATTGGACAAGGCTAATAAAACACTCAAACCTGCCAGACTGTTGCGACAATTGAGATACAAAACGCTAATCCAAAATACATTTTTATTCACAATCATAACAAAGATTTTCACAAAAAAAAACATGAATAAGAATAAACACCCCGATCTTACAACTGTCATAAAAGGTATTTTCTTGTAAAATAGTAAAGTATTACTAAGACTAGCAGTTTTCCGATTCAATTTTCGGTTACAGTACGATACAAGTAATCACATTACAGTCAACGTTGGATGTTTAATACTTTACTACGAAAATACCTTTTATGGCAGTTCTGAGATCGGAAGTCGATCGGAACTGAATTGAAACCGAACTTTTTTTACGAGAATTGGTCTTCTGTTGGTCTAGTAGTTAGTATTGCTTTGCCAGAGGTCGTGGGTTAGATTCCCACCCATTATTGTGTGATGAGCACAATAATTTGGTCTGTGTCTGGATGTAATACTTAGTATGTATGTATTTGTAAATATATAAGTATATTTATCAGCAGTCTGATTACCATAGTACAGGCGCTGCCTCTGTCTGAGGTTATTTTTAACATTTCTTTACAGTGCATACATGTTACATACATATACTATACATATTGAAATCTCGTTAATATGCCCGTACATTTTTACAAAGATTGCAGAGACGAGGAAAGTGGCATGTGCCAGCACACAGCTCTTGGGCTCACGAGCTGATAATGTAGGAAGCTTACACGCTCAACTGGCAAGTAGGTACTTTCATTGTTTCTCTTCTATTGCGTAGTGCCAGTTCACTAGTGTAATGTGAGCAGCGCCTTTGTTAACATGTAGATAAGACGCGGCGACGGTTCAGCCAACCTTCTACTCAAGTTTGTCAGATGAGCAAGAAAATTAATAGGTTGTTATTTGACTTAAGGTGGGTAGAATCAATTGGGCGGTTGTCTAGCCACTTTCCATATTGAATCTAGCTATTTGAGTATACAGGAATTTGCAACACTGAGTGAGTCCAGTAGCCCCGTAGTGTTGTGGTGTGTGTACGCGACTACTGGATGCATCCCCACAGAGCAAGTAGGTAGGTACGTACTTTTAGCGCGAACCTTCTACACATCTGTCGTATGAAGTCGTCTCCCCGAACACTATAGGCTTAGGTATATGGTACGTATCCATGTATAAGTGGTACCAACAAGCGTTTCAACTATTACACTTATACCTACTTGGTATATTATACAAGTTTGCATATTCTTTGAAACCAACATTAACTCCATAAACATTTATTATAGGTACCTACTTCCTCTATAACCCTACTATGGAAAGGATTAATAGCTTGCAGCCGCGACTTCGATCGCGTGGTTTTTGAAAAGCACTGGGTTAGTGAGTTAAATTCCCGGACCGTGCAAAATTTTAAAGGGTTTTCCAGGGTAAACAGCTACCTGGTCGTAAAATATTATAAAATCGGTCCAGGGGTTTAGAAGATTATCCGGAACAAACAGACAAACAAAAAAATTAAACTGTTTTTAGGCATAGATGTCGTGCAAATAACCGTGAGCATAAAAAAACCTATTATTTTGACATTACAAACAAACACTTTAGTTTTATTTATTTGTATAGAGTATAGATAAACAACGAAGTATACGGTCAACGATTTACGAAATTCCCAAATAAAGAACATTAATACATTAACCTGTAGCGCTCCTTATCAAATGATTGGCACTTGGCACCATCACACCTACGAGTATACCTAACCGTTACGTGTCTAGGTGGTGGGTACGATTAATATCTCAACTTTAGGGATTGTAATGCATTGAGTTAAAAAGTATGACCGGGGGACTTCTGCGTGCGAGGGAGGTCTAACTACTGCACTCAATACTTTGCAAACAAAGTGATAAACCTACGGTAAACTTGTGTATACGCACACAGTATACCTATAAAGTATCAAAGTATAAGTATCAAATTTAAAAAATAAATTTGTAGAATGTTTTACGGTTATTTATATGTTTTTACAGTAAAATGCTCATCAAAGTGTACAAGTAACAACGCACCTAACCGTTTGTGGCCAACGGGTACCTGCTTACTTGTGCGGCACTATCTTCTTTTTAAAATATTCTCATAAACGACAACAATAGGAGCTGTGTATGCGTGTGTGTGTGTGGGAATGAGCGGGGCGTGGAGGGAGTTGAGGGGGCGGCAGGCACCGTCGGCACGAGCGGTGAGCGCCGCAGCGCGGGGCGGCGCAGCTCTCACCTGACGACAAGTCCGTCTCCTTCATGACTTCTGCCCAGGCTGCGTCCTTCAGCTCCTGGTCGCGGTACTCGATGGCGGTGGTGTTCCAGAGGCACGGGTACTTGCGCACGGTCTCGATGAAGTGCTCCATGGCGGTGCGGCGGGGCGGGGCAGCGAAGCGGGCTCAGCGCGGGCGGTGCGGCGTCGGCGGCGGGCTCGCGCGGCACACTGAGCTGCCGGAGCGCCGAGCGGCCGCCAGCGACGGAGGCGACCGCGGCCGCGCCCGCTCCACCGCCGCACCGCACCGCACCGCTCCGCACGCCCGCGTCGAGCCCTCCTTACGCGAACGTTCAAGTCTGGTCTTAAAACCACTAATAAGGAAATATCCAATCATACGAATATTTTTATCAAAAACGTTTGTCATATTGAAATTAAACACGAGTTAAAAGTGTAATAAACGTAAGACACGCGTGCACACACAGTTTAGTAGACGCGCCGTGTGTAATGAGTGAGTAACATTTATTTAAATAATAAGTGCACTCACTAATATTGCCTAAAGAAACATAAAGAATGTATATTCCTCACTTATCTATCTCTGTTAATAATACGTTAGCAGTTCTTCAGTAATTTTAAACCCGGTCTACAGAAATGCAACCAATATTTGTACATGAACATTTATTAGAAAAAGTAATCAACGAAAAACATCATTAATAGTAATATCCTGTAACGTGTGTATGTAACCAGTATAAACAAGGGATAAGCGATATTTGCGAGCTGCTGGCTAGCGGGAACGTTACCCAGGCAACGCCACTAAACAATGTTCAGTGGTGTTTCTTACAGTACTGTAAACATGTGCGTTTTGTGTGCGAAGTATTTGTCCCTGAAAGATGAAGCCTATATCCTATACATATCGATATTGAACACCACAAAGATCGTGCTGTGGTGTCTGCAGAGACATTTTAACGAATGCGTTACTCGTACTGTAGCAATTTGTTACTCCTTGAAGTATCTACATGCATGGTACAGTTAAGTAAGTAGCCAGGTGTGCAACAAGTAGCAGTAAGACATAGATGAAGTACTGGTAAAATATATTTGTGTGTGTGACTTTTAAATCCGTGACAGTCCTAAATGCAACTTGCAGTGTTCATTTTCATCATTGCTTACCCGCAACACCCCTACTAGCACCCCTGGGTGCTTAGCAACAGTCAAACACAGCTGGAGTGGAGTATTCGTCCCCATTCTTACTGCGCGCGGCTTGTTACGTCCCCCTCACACGTGTGGTGATCGCTGCATCGCGCTCTTCGTCACCAGTGACTATGACACGCCCACAGTGCATTTTTTGTTGTTTATCTAAAAAAGAAACAAACGATCACAAAACGATTGATCAAGACTAATTAATGTAATGCCAGTTGCGATACCTGCCATCGTCGCAGAGTGCTAATATCCCGTACGACTGATAAATAATAATGTACCTAAGTACACTAGTTCTGTGGTCGGTCCCGACGTTGCCGGTGCGAAGGTTGCAGAGGGTCGTTCAGATGTTCGCGGATCGATGTTCTCCCCGCGTGGCCTTGCACCAACTACCCACTACTCACCCTCTGAAAGAGTCGCGCAGCGTCGGCCGACCGACACCCAAATTCACTCTACAACAACGCCTGTTTGATAAGTATGTGGTGATAACAATTATGTGCAATCACACGCCTACATATCGTTGTACTGTAAGATACTGTTACGTCACTGGTTATATAAAAATATATCTATAGGAAATATCCCTAAAGTTGATACATTGATGCGTGTATTTAATACATTCCTGGAATATATTCCTGTGTCGCGGGGGACTTTATAAACATACATTAAAGGGACACAAAGAACACCCAGACTCAGAACAACAATTTTTTGTGGATCACAAACTATAGCCCCATGTGGGGATCGCACTACAACACTCAGCGTAGTAGTAAGCGGCGTGGCGACCGCTTAAACCACTACGCCATCCGTGCAGTCAAACTGTATACGAGTAGTGTATATTCGGCATTTCAAAGAGAGAGATACACATAAGTAGGTATAACTTGAATTTTAGAATTTTAAGCGTGATCTACTGTAGGGCATGTGGCGACTCCCACATACAAAGAAACAGAAACATACTACAGCGCCATCTAACGAAGACAAACTGAACTACGGAGTAACTCTTGAATGAGAATCGCTAATCCTGTATCGCGATATAAAGAGATTTTCGCGGCGCGCTGGTCGGAGTATCCTTCCTTTTGTTGGACGTAGCCACTTCCCATCAGTTGACCTGTTCGACCCGTCCTTTGCCCCCTCTTCATGCAACTTGCCTTTGCGTTTCCCCTTGCCCGGGTCAACTCCGCTCAACCCCCCCCCCTCCCCTTCTTTTTGCCTAAGCATGACTTTTCCACGTCGTCCTGACGTGGAAAAGTCAGGCCAACTATTTCATATAAATATTTCATAAATGTGAAAGTTCGGATTCATGTTTGCTCCTCAATTCCGAATAAATTAGAATGAAAGTTGGCACAGAGATAAATCATAGTCTGGAATAACGAGCTAAACAAGCCTACCCCAGATAAAATATATTGGTAAAATCAATATTACCGCATGTGAAATCTAGTAACAGAAATATATTTTAGTAATAAACTAGATTTTCCAAGCTTAACTGGACATTTAGTGCACGGATTTTCTCATGTTACAAAGCATCAAATAGAACTTTGTTTTGAGATCTATGAGAATTTCGCCGACAATTACAGCCTTCTTAATAAATTTTCACACACGACGTATACCAGGGTTATACTCTTAACATAAACGTTAGGTACCAATAAAACAATATTTAACGTCTCGGCTGTATACATGTTGTACACTGATGTTTGTAAACAATTAGATACACAACCGTCATTCAGCCCTCGGCCCTTCTTTACCAATTTCTCATAATTAGCTGCTTTCGTTATATTAAGTTTGAAAACCATGGATTATTTACAATATTTCGATATCTTTGATGCAATTGACAATGAGGAACTACCAAGAAAATGTTACAAAACTCGTTCTGATCTTTCTGTTTGTCTGAATATGAGTTACGGTCAAAATTGCAGATTCAGCAAACGCTATGCAAAAAACATGGACGTATAATACGTCCATGGCAAAAAAATATTGAATAAATTAAATGTGATATTGAACAGCTATCGCGAGGTGGTGGTCTGTCAGAAGAACTTTAAGTTCGTACTGTACGTAATGAATTAAGTCACTTATACTATTCCACAATATTCATTTTATTAAACTTGACCGGTTTCGGCTCACGGCATTTTCAAAGGGAATTTTACTAAGCATTTTATGTTGTAATATTAAATGGCATCGTTCAACATGACAAGGAAACGTAATAGGATTTTGATATATAAAATATTTTACATGTCATCATTCACTTCTTGACACTCAATAATTTGACGCTTTGAGTTTTGTGATTCTAATCTAATGCCATTATTATATAAAAAAAAATGAAAATCTTATCCTTCCAAATTTTGGGTTAAAATTTAGAATCTGGTATTGTACATTATTTTAATCTACCTGCAATATAAGTATTATTGTTTTAAACATTTTAAATAATCTAATGTCCAATAGCTGTCATAATAATAAATAATGTGGAATAGTACCTACCAGAGTTTTAATTCAATATGTGTTGTATGTATGTGTTGCAAGTTCCACCAAGTACCATCAATCAACAGTATAAATAGTTTGTACTGCTCATGGTCTCAGAACATGGGCTCGACCAGAAGTTCAGGTTGATGCAGCGGATATTCATTTAGTGAGCCAGCAATTCACCACGAATGTGTGTCGCAGATTTTGTGTGCTTTAGCGGCGGCTAATAAAGCATCAGCATTTGTATACATGCCTGCTATAGCTGCAGAACAAGAAGAATTCAATATTGATTATAGCGCCATCTATGACATATTCCCCAAACTGAACGAAATGGTTTAGTACAAAATGTTGAAGTAATAATTACTTCAACATTTTGTACTTAACCATTTCGTTCTACTGTCATAAGTGTGAAAGTTTACTTACATAAATGCTATCAAACTGTTTAATGCTACTAAAATTTGCAATCGCATTTCATTTTATATCCGGCAGGGGGCAATTAATGGTATGTAGCTGCACAATGTTAAAAAAACGGCGTGAGGGGTCGTATGGAACGAAATTCCTTTCGCTTTTTGTAAGACGTTTGTATATATATGAAATATGAAAAAGATGTGAGCGTCGATGCGTCAACTAAGTGTCGGAAAAAAGTATTGTTACACGTTATTCGGTCTCGCTCAGAGCGTGCAAAGCGTGGTAAGGAAATTCATTCCAATATAAACAATTGGCACATGTGTTTTAAATCAATGTTTTAAATTTGACTTCGGTAGCTAGTAGGATTTACATTTAATGTAAACAATAGTTTAAACATAAGTAAAAGTAGTCATTCATAGAACGACAGTAATAATTGATTTTCGAGTGATTTTAGGCCATCGCATCTTTTACTACATCGTGTCCAAAAACGATTAATACTGTAATAATAATAGGTTTAGCATTAGGCACACATTGAAGTGTGACCAATTCTCAAAAATATTTACCCCTAAAACTACAGTAAAAAATCCATAAAATTGCGACAATCACCTGTTTTATTTATTTTCATTTGCAGTAGGTATAAACACCTTAACCACAGGCTAGAGTACCACAAATCCGTTGAGTATAAATTATGGATTATAGAGATAAGAAGTACTTAAAGAACCATCTTCTCAGGAGGCCATGTATTTGTACACCCAAAACCGTGATGGTTGGCGTTACGACGGCAATACGCTGATGATGATGTATTTACATCGCCCACCGGCATCGATGACACTCATTGTGTGTCAATCCTGCAGACAAGCAGACAATCTTGTGACGAATCTGCTCTATCGCCTTTGGAATTAAATGATTAAGTTGGCAACACAGCAAGTGGCTGTCACCTGTCACTGAACTGTCTGAAAGGCTGCTGTTGCTTTTGTTGACAATGTTGACATTTGTTTATTAAAATAGTTATCATTTCTTGTTGTAGAAACAGTTAAAGTTAAAACGAGAAACTAGTATTCTGTGTTCAGTTCATAACTTGTGGTTTTAAGAGGTAGATAAATGCCAATTAAAACTGTAGATTTAAACGTATTTATTGTGATCAGTGGGTGTTAGTGAAACATAAATGAATTGGTTATGGTGAGTGGTAGTAGAAGCCACGACTAAGGCAGAACCAAGTTACGGCAGAAGCACAAGATATCGCAATGGATGGACAACCCGACGCAGACAGGGATAGGGATAGACTGTGAGTAAATTCACGTAACTGTTACCCACAAATACAAAAGAGTTACCTACTGTTTGCTACCTTTTACATCTGCTTTGATCGCTTACAATTTTAACATATTAAGGCAGAATTTCTTTTTCTTCCTAATGTGTGTAACAGTAACTCAAAGGTTTGTTGTTTACGTTTTCAGTATGGGAGGTGATAACAGTGCAGCAGAAGGTGATGGGGACAGAGGACGATATAGGTTTGTTACATTTGTTCATAGTGCTCAACATAGATTGAACCATCCCCAAGGGTCATGCATGTAGCTCGACGCACCTGTAAACAACATTAATTCCCATCAGATCGTAGGTAATGTGACAAGGTGGAAGGTTCAAGTTTGTTATTTATCCTGTTTTTTATGTGAAAAGATATAATTAATGTGAGTGAGTCACATCCCACCTGATGTACTTTAGAGACATAGTCATCCAACTAAATGTGTCCAAATAAAATATTGTGTGTGAGTGTGTTGAGCATTGCCCTTTGTTGCTGGACATTGGTTTTTTCCAATGTGCACAAAAGTTTGTGGTGGCACAATAGTTTATAGATTCTGAAAGAATAAATAACACTCCAAACTAGGTGTCGTCCTTGGCATTGCTCTTGTTCATTAAAATTTAGTCAATCAAATCAAGTCTCCCTTGGGAATTTTGAATTTTTGTAGACAAAACTTGATGATGACTTGTTAAATAAATATTTTTTGAAATGACAATGAACCAAGAATCTCATATTTGCATATACAATATTAGTAAGGTACTTATTTAGGTAACTATTGTTGGTCTGCAAGGCAATATTGAGTCTTTGAAACAAAGCGTCTCATGAAATAAGAAAAAAGGAACTTTTTGATCCACTGAGAACACTATAGAGTTGTATACATATAAAGACAATGAGGGAACTAACAATGCTGTCTGGTTAATTAATTCATTAAAAGCAATGCCATTGTCAACTTGCTTCTTTATCACACAATACATTTCTCAAGCTTATCACATCACACAACAACAGTCTTTAATAGTCCACTGCTGGACATAGGCGTCTCCTTAGAAAGGAGGTTTTGACCTACATTACCACGCTGGTCAGGCTATATTAAACACTAAACACATTTATGATAAGTGAAGTTCTAGCAGTTTGATAGTCAATTTTAGTTGGAATATTTTATAACCATTCAGTGAAAAAATATCTCAAAATGACCCATGAGACTGTGCTGACTGATGTTTCAGTCCAGACAAATTAAAAAGCATATTTTATTAAAAACTGTTACGAAACAAAATTTATTTTTCATGAGAAAACTACCCTAAAATTTACCACCTTATTTCGTTCTCCTATAAAGTTATTCGGTAAAAGTTGTCATATTACAATGTCACGTGTAGCACCATGATGCGGTGCGCCTCGCAGTCGTCCCTAGACGAGTCGTCGCAGCGGCCCGCCTCGGGCGAAAGCGGTGCCAGCGGGGGAGCGCAGCACGCCACCAAGCTGCTGGAAGCGCTGGCGCGCTTGCGCCGCGACGCTACGCTCTGCGACGTGCGCCTGCACGCGCGCTGCGAGCCCGACCAGCCCGCGCCCGCACCCGCGCCCTCGCCCCCTCCCTCGTCCGCGCCTCAAGCAGCAGCGCCCGAGTCGGCCGAGTCCTCCGATCGCTCCGAACCCTCCGAGCCTTCAGAGCCCTCCAACGCAGTGTACGCGCACCGCGCTGTGTTGGCCGCCTGTTCACCATATTTTCACGCCATGTTTACGCAGTTCGACGAGCGCACACAACCCACCGTCACTATACAGGTAGACCCACAGCAGTTACCAGTCAAAGCGTTACACTAATTACTACTGCTAAATCTAACGTTATGTACGATAAGATTGATAATACAGAAATGTGAGGAATGTGTGTAAATTTAAAGCTATGTGCTTTTATAATACTAGAGTTATTACAAAAGGTTTATGAGCCGCCAGCCTGATATATAAATGACGTGTGTATTTTAATCTGAACAAATTAATTACGGTCTAAGTATGAAAATATTACCGTAGCAATGTTCCGGCAATGTGCATGAACGTACCAAAAGCAGAATCAGACGTGGCAAAAACTTTAAAATCTTGAAAATATAAATTCTAAATTTGAACGCCTGCTTATTTTATGCTGACAATCCGACAAAATGTATAAAGGAAAATTTAAACTACAAAGGTTTCGTGTCATCATTCGTTTATATTATATGTACGAGGGGTGATCAATAAGTAATGATAATCAATATGAAACAGAACTATTAGATTAAAAAAAGTATTTTATTTTTCAACATAGTCTCCTTGCAAGTTAATACATTTAGTGTATCTTTTTTCTAAGCCCATGATTCCCTTAGAAAAAAATTCTTTGTCTTGACCCTCCCAAAATGCCTCTACTGCGGCCATCACTTCACTATTGTCCTCAAATTTGTTGCCCCGGAGGTGTTCTTTGAGCCGAGGAAAGAGGTAGAAGTCACTGGGAGCTAGATCTGGCGAATAGGGAGGGTGTTCGAGCAGTTCGAACCCCGTTTCTTCAATGGCAGCCATCGCAACTGCGGCTTTGTGAGCCGGGGCGTTGTCTTGGTGAAACAGCACTCCAGCGCGCAGTTTACCGCGTCTTTTTGACTTAATAGCTTCTCGCAATCTTCTTATTTGGCCTGCGTAGTAAGAGCCTGTTATAGTGGCCCCCTTTTCCAAATATTCCACCATAATAATTCCTTCTGCATCCCAGAAAACAGACGCCATAACCTTTCCCGCTGAACTTGACACTTTGAATTTCTTTGGCGTTGGTGAGGAAGCGCGTTTCCAAGTCATTGATTGTTGTTTGGTTTCGGGATCAAAGTGGTGGATCCAGGTCTCGTCCATGGTCACAAAACGCGACAAAAAAAATCTTTATCGGCCTGGAACTTTTGAAGATTCACCCTCGAAATGTCGACTCGTTTCTTTTTTTGCTCGTCGGTTAACATTCTCGGTACCCAACGCGCAGAGACCTTTTTCATATGCATTTTGTTGACAATGATTTTTTGCACGCTGCCATAGGAGATCCCTGTGACCTCAGCTACATGCCTTACGGTCACCCTTCGATCGGCCAACACGATATCTTCCACTTTTTTGACGTTTTCTCCAGTAAGGGACGTGGAAGGGCGTCCCTCGCGATGTTCATCTTCAGTGGAGGTTCTGCCCAGCTTAAATTCCTTTGCCCAGCGTGCGACTGTGGAATATGGAGGAGCAGACTCCCCCAATGTTTCCTCTAAGTCGCTGTGTATGTCTTTGGTAGACATTTTTTTCAGGCCGAGGTACTTGATGACAGCTCTTATTTCATTTTTCTCCATTTTGATGTTTTCTCTTCGACAGTTCGTATTCAAATGAATGTATCTCCCGGTAATGGTGTCCTATTTATACATTTTTTTGAAGCTGAAGTAGTGGATACATAAGCAAGCAGAAAAAAAATATTTTGGGTTTTTGTGCGTTCTAGAAATACTCGATTATCATTACTTATTGATCACCTCTCGTATATACGCAATCACAGCTTACATTAGCAATTATACGTTAAATATGGTTAATTTAATATTACCCATACACGAGAAATACATAAATTGAACAGTTTGGAATTGAAGCCCGTATACCTAATCAGTCCAATTAAGTTTTTTTTTAAACCTTCATCTGTTTCTGCTTTTGCTGTTTTATGAAATAACTTTAGTTTTATAAAAGCACATCGCTTTTAGTTTTACGCACACTCATCACATTTCTAGAACATTGCTTTCGTGTGTATAGATGATCACCGTTTTTAACGTACACTCGTAATGTTAATGTTCACGTAGATGTAGTACCTATTGACAAGTCTCGCCGCCCGCAGAACGTGGAGCCGAGCGCGCTGGAGGCGATCGTGGAGTACGTGTACATGCCCGAGTCGCTGGTGATCTCGGAGGACAACGTGCAGAGCCTGCTGTCGGCGGCGTCGCTGCTGCAGGTGCTGGGCGTGCGCGAGGCGTGCTGCGCCTTCCTGGCCGCCGCACTGGCGCCAGACAACGCGCTCGGCATCCGCGCCTTCGCCGAGCTGCACGCCTGCGCCGAGCTCTGCCTCTGCGCGCAGCGCTATGTCGAGCACCACTTCGTCGAGGTGCGTCCGCCTTGTACCCACTGTGCGACTGAGATAACATCGTTTTTATTTTACACCTGCCTGATCCTTTAAGGTCTAACTCTAGTTCCAAAAGAAAGGTTTCTAATTATAGTTACGTGATTCGTTACGTCGTTGTTTTACCGGCGTGGACGTTACAAAAAGTAAACGTTAACGTAAACTCGGCAACATTTCTGCTACCGTATGTACAATAAATTAGATACGATCGCTTCATCGCTATAGCGTTAGGGCCTTTTCATACGGAGAGAGATATATTTCTGCATCCAATTTCCACGCCGATGAAGTCGCGCGTTGAGTTAGCGCTATCCGGTCGTGAAATAAATAGAAGAGAACTCGTCTATAACGATCGCGCTCGAGAGCAGGTTCTGGAGACGGAGGAGTTTCTGGCGCTGGAGGCGGACACGCTGGCGGCGTTGCTGGACAGCGACCGGATCACCGTGCCCAACGAGGAGGTGGTGCTGGACGCCGTGGTGCGGTGGATGCGTCACGCGCCCGAGGCCCGCGCGGGACAGCTGGGCGCGCTGCTGGAGCACGTGCGCCTGCCGCTGCTGGCGCAGGACACGCTCGTGGCGCGCGCCGCGGCCGAGCCGCTGGCCGGCGCGGGGCTGCGCGTCAAGGACCTGGTCATCGAGGCGCTGTCCTTCCACCTGCTGCGGCCCGAGCGCCGCGCCGCCGCCGCCGCCGCCTGCGCGCGCGCCCGCCCGCGCCAGCCGCCGCGCTCGCCCAAGGCGCTGCTCGTGGTGGGCGGCCAGGCCCCCAAGGCCATCCGCGACGTGGAGGCCTTCCACATGGAGTGCGGGCGCTGGCGCGCCGCGGCCGAGCTGCCCACGCGCCGCTGCCGCGCCGGCGTGGCGTGCGTGGGCGCCAAGGTGTACGTGGTGGGCGGCTTCAACGGCACGCTGCGCGTCCGCAGCGTCGACGTGTACGACGTGGCCACCGACTCCTGGAGCGCCGGCCCGCCGCTGGCCGCGCGCCGCTCCACGCTGGGCGTGGCCGCCATAGGACACGTCATCTACGCCGTGGGGGGGTGAGTCACTGTTCTCGTTTTGGCGCATCTTTGTTATGAATACGATACGATCCGTGGTCTCCGGATCTAACGTTTCGTCTCTGACCTTACGACGGTCCGCTTATCCTTACTGCCTGGCAGAGATGTACTGATGGTATATTTGTAATAACGTTTTGTTACGTGAGAAGTGAACCGATTATTCGAAATGTATGTCCGTTTCAGCATGATTTGAATCGCAATGTGGACACGAATTTACTTAATTTTGCAGAAGTTATTTTAAGCGTCATGGGACATAAATGTTAAGTCGATGCGATCTATACAGATTTCACCAAGTACTTCGATAAAACCTGTCACAATGCGATACACTTAAAGCTTTGAAACCTTGGTGTGCAACCCCTTGGTAATCTTTTACGTTGGATAACTTGCTATGTCAGAAACTTACCTTAGATTTCAAAATTATTAAGGCTTATCTGAATAATTTTGAAAGCTCATATAGGCTTACAAGCAATTGGGCTTTATCTTGAGGGTTGGAAAATTCTTTAAAAATGCGTCAACTTATATATTGTTGCACAACGCTTATGTGCGAAGTGGATTAGAGTTTGCTTCTGTAACTTCAACTGGCACGTCTGGCAACTTCATTATCAAATTCACATCTATAGAATTGAAAGGATATAGTCTAAATTTGTAAAAGTTCTCGATCGCCGCACTGGGCACATACATGAAGATTACAAAACGTCTGCCAAATATCATAAAGTAACATCATTAAAACATTGAAACGTAATAAAGCGTAAAAGTAATTGAAGCGTGATAAAAAAAGTGAATTATTGTTAGAAAAATTATTTTTTTGAATTGCGTGTAGACGAGAAAGAACCTGTCATAAAAATAAACTATTTCATGGAGTTCTTGGAAAATAAATTCTTTAAAAAAAACAGTCGTCATCGCTTCCGAAACGAAACAGGTTCGACGGCGCCACGGGACTGAGCTCCGCGGAGGCGCTGGACACGCGCGAGGGCACGTGGCGCGCCATCGCTCCCATGTCCACGCGCCGCTCGTCCGTGGGCGTGGGCGTGCTGGGCGGCAAGCTGTACGCCGTGGGCGGGTACGACGGCGCCTCGCGCCAGTGCCTGCACACGGTGGAGCGCTACGACCCGGCCGCGGACGCGTGGGAGAGCGTCGAGGAGATGGGCGCGCGCCGCTCGGGCTGCGGCGTGGGCGTGGTGGAGGGCGCGCTCTTCGCCGTGGGGGGGCACGACGGGCCCGCCGTGCGCCGCTCCGTGGAGCGCTACCGGCCCGAGCGCGGCTGGGCCCCCGCCCCCCCCCACGCACGCCGCGCGCCGCAACGCCGCAGTGGCCGCGCACCACGCGCGCCTCTACGTCGTGGGCGGGGACGACGGCGCCGCCAACCTCAACACCGTCGAGGTACCCCTCCACTCCTCTATCGTCTAGGACTTTCCGATTCGCCGTTTAGTCTTCCGAGATAGAAAAATCTTTACCCGGAAATCGATGAGCGTGCGTTTCTCCCGATATTAAACCGAAAATGGATGTTTTTTCCTTAGGAGTTGCCTGCACCTCTACGAAGTTATAAATCTCTCAAATGCGTGACACCTATTTTTACGTTTTCGCAAATGTGCGGCAGCTTAATATTATTTTACCTATTGCACTGTGTACGGAAGCGGAACGAACTCTTCCTTAAAACTAAAAAAACCCGGCAAATAATGTTGCCAAAGTAACCTATAATCGATACAGGAACTTCTGTAATAACGTTTACACACACTCGTCTAACACAAGACAATTTCAACGTCTCAGTAAAAGTCCTAAGGGCACGTGGGAACTCATAAAGAAGTTAACGAATATAAATAAAGAAAAAATTCCAACTGACGAGGTTATAGGTACGTGTAACGATCCCCAATCCACCGTAAATTCAATTAACGAATATTTTGCCAGTGTGGGAAAAACCTTGCATCTAACATTTCTTCTTTAACAAACTTAGTCAATAGTCATCCTGTCATCGGCCAATCCTCGCCATCAAACTCAATGTCTCTCCTAGTTACTGACGATGCAGAAATTGAGAGACTCATTATAGGTCTTAAAAGTACAACAGCCACTGTATGGGACCATCCCATACAGTGGCTGTTGTACTTTTAAGACCTATCTTTCTTTATAGTAAGGGGTGCGAAAGACATACTTGTATCTATTATTGTACATGTGATTAACCTCTGCATAACACAGGGTCTGTTTCCTGAGGTTTTTAACATTGGATTAGTGCAATCTACATACAAGGGCGGGAACAGGGGTAGTGTCCACAACTATTGACCTCTCTCGGTTCTATCCACTTTATCCAGCATTTTGGAGAAGGTACTTAACATTAGGCTTATAAAGTACTAGCTGACCCGCGCAACTTCGTCTGCGTCTCTCAATAGTAATAAATTTTCTCCGTTTTTGAAACATTCTTCATTGGTGCTCCGCTCCTATTGGTCTTAGCGTGATGATATATAGCCTATAGCCTTCCTCGATAAATGGGCTATCTAACACTGAAAGAATTTTTCAAATCGGACCAGCAGTTCCTGAGATTAGCGCGTTCAAACAAACAAACAAACAAACAAACAAACAAACTCTTCAGCTTTATAATATTAGTATAGATTTAGGTTTTAACAATATACTGGCTCAAAATCAATTTGGTTTTCGTAGTGAGAAATCAACTGAAGATGCGGTTTTAACTTTAACAAACTCCAGTGTTCAAAATGTTAATAAAAAACAAATCGATTGCTATATTTCTGGATCTCTCCAAAGCTGGAATGCATAGGTATTAGAGGTATAGCCCACGACATCTTTAAAAGTTGTTTCGAAAATCGGTTTCTGTGTCGGTGTGTTAGGATTGGAGATCTTATTAGTGAAAAACAAAGGTTGCAATTTGGTGTTCGTTAGGGAAGTGTGTAAGTGCCAACACTTTTTCTTATTTATATAAATGATCTTTGCAAAATGACCCTACCACATCACACTGTAAGATCATAACTTACGCCGATGACACGGTTTTACTAATAAACGGCACAGACTGGACCCACGCTAAATTCAATGCAGAGACAGCGTTATCTGCTGTAACCTACTCGTATTGGCTTGCTCATAACCTCGCTCATAAAATCTGCCCGATACATTTTTTAATTTAATCATGAATACACCTGATAAAATCATAAAATCAAAAGACTTCGGTCGACAAGGGAATATCACAAATCCGAATCTCTCGACGGATACTAAGGGGACGGTTTGAGGTGTACGTATGCGTCGGCAGGTGTTCGACCCGGCGACGGACTCGTGGAGCATGCTCGGCGCCGGCATGGCCGTGGGACGCTCGTACGCGGGCGTCGCCATCGTGGAGCGCGCCGCGTGATGCCGCGCCGGCGGCCCCGAGCCGCCCCCGCCCCCGTCCCGCCCCCCCGGCGCGCCCTGGCCCCACGCCCCGTGCGCGGCGCGCTGGTGCTCGCAGACGCTCGAGTTCAACGAGCGCTGCGGCGCGGGGCGGGGCGGCGCGGGGCGGGGCGGCGCGGGGCGGGGCGGCACGGTGCCGCGCGCCGGGCGCGTGCTGCGCGTGTCGCTGGCCGACCTGGCGCTGCCGCCCTGCGTGCTGCTGCTGCCGCGCCGCGCGCCGCCCGCGCCCGACCGACACGAGGACGAGGAGTGACCCCCCCCCCCCGATCTGCGAATGTCGCGTGTCTCCCCTTCTCTATTGTCAGTTCTAGCGCCGTAGCGGAGCCGCGGCGGCTCGTTTCCCCTCCCCGGCCGCCGCGCGTCTCCGACGTGTTGAGTGAATTAAATAAAAGTACTAAAAGTAATAAGTAGTAATAATAATAAAGTAATAAAAGTACGCCGTTAACTATCCAGTGTTCGTTTTATTACCTGACGTTCGTATCGTCGACCTAGGACGAGCGAATCTGATTTCTTAACCAAAAATTTAAAATAATTTAATGGTATGTGGCAGGGGCGTGCGCTCCTTGTAGGCAGAAATGCAGTGCTTTACTTGCTATTTACAGACATTTTAATAAAACGTTCGTACGTTTTAGATGACTTTAATTAATAGTAAATAAATGAAAAAACAAAATATAATAACTTAAAAACGCCTAATATTTTATAAATAGCACCTATTTGAAAGCACACAAACATTATATTTGCCAGGCGTTTGGGCACAAGCAAGCGGCGCTGTACCTACCAACCAACTCATGCCGATAACATGGACATATTGCAGGAAATTTGTGTTTCGCGGGGGCCATTTTGCTTTTTACACGTGATAAGCATTGTTTACTATTTTGTTTGCGCCAGTATAATTATAGTTTTATTTTTCATTTTAACATTTGAAAGTGTGTACATTTAACAGTCTATTACTGAGTTCCGTTGATTTTTTTAAAATGTTATTTGATTGTGAGGTATGTGTGGAAAATGTGTCTATATTAAAAATTAAAAATAACAAGTTCTCACAATTGTCTTCAGTGAAAAGATTAAAATTGTGTCTAAATGTCTGTAACTATCACTCACTTGGATAAGATATTTGAGGTGGCCGAAATCTTGCGTTTATTTACATCGGGATATAGTAATCTCAAGTAACCGGAACCTTGAATATGTGAAAATCTGAAAATTGAAGATGACCAGGTGAGTAGTTATAATATTTTAGCTTATTATTTTACTTATTAGAATTTCTTCCGCCGCGACGATCTATCGCTGTTTTGTCTGCGTTCCCGTTGAAGATATACTGTGCTGTGCTGTGCTGTGGCGGCGCGCTGCTAGCGGTGGCGTTGGACATCTCATTTAATAGGCTGGCATCCAGCTGCATCAGGGAAGTACTCCACTATCACGGGGTACCAGAGAACCTGAGGTGGCTAAAGGCAGACTATTTAGAGGAGCGTACCGTCGTGTGCGAGGACCGAGATGGTAATCTATGGTGTCGGCCCGTGTCGTGCGGTGTTCCACAGGGTTCCGTGCGTTGCACCCCACACTGACCGACCTAATTTTGTATTATCGAGAATAGGTTTATTATTACCTAAAGGTATACGTATTTGTACCTGATAGGCTTCAAAATAATTCAGGACTCAATAATACGTCTATTTCAGACAGAATATTTAACTTGGGATCAGCTAATTTATTTGTTCGAAACTTATTGTTAATGCACGTGTTGGACGCAGGCGGACTTAATTCCATGAGGCGTTCTCTCCCAGTCGACCTTCAGGCGATCTACAGGGTTTTCCAATAAGAGGTGTTATTTTAGTATTCAAAGAAAAATGCAATTTTTTAAGATAAATAATCGGCTGTTTATTTTATAATAAAGAGGAAGGTATGCCGTTAATAATGGAAGATAACATCAGCCAAATGGCTACCACGACCACGCTTACAGGACCATATCCTTTTAATGAAATTTTGCAAAACCAAATCGCAAAGTGGCTGCCCTATGTCCTCGATAGCCTCACGAATTCCATCTTTGAGGTCTGTTGGCGTAGACCTTATCTTTCACGTGGCCCCAAAGCAAGAAGTCGTAAGGTGTTAAATCACAAGATCTCGGTGGCCAATTGTGATCACCTCTTCGAGAGATAACACGGTCAGGAAACTTTTCCCGTAAAAGAGCAATGGTTTCGTTGCTTGTCTGGCACGGAGCGCCGTCTTGTTGAAAGTAAACGTTGTCCAGATCAATACCATTCAACTCCGGATATAAAAAATTATTAATCATATCTCGATAGCGCAATCCATTCACCGTAAGTGTTGATCCAACCTCATTTTCGAAAAAGTAAGGTCCAATGACCCCGCCGGACCATAAACCGCACCAAACAGTCACACGTTGAGGATGGAGAGGCTTCTCAACAATAACTCTTGGGTTTTCCGAGCCCGAGATGCGACAATTTTGCTTGTTGACGTAGCCTCCTAGGTGGAAATGGGCCTCATCAGTCAAGATGATTTTTCGATGGAATTCCGGATCATTTTCATGCATTTCAAGTACCCAATCAGCAAAGACACGACGTTATTGTTGATCGGCCGGCTTGAGTTCTTGTGTTAACTGAACTTTATAAGCCTTAAGACCCAAGTCTTTATGCAGAATACGGTGTAATGACGTTTGTGGAATGCCCAATTCCAAAGAACGACGAGGAATGGACAAACCTGCGTTTTCTTCAACACTTTGGGCTACAGCAGCAATATTCTCAGTTGTTCTTGAGCGACGTGCACGGGTTTTATTCTTCACATCACTAACTTGTCCCAACAGCTCGAATTTTTCCACCAATTTCTGTATTGCGGTCCGACAAGGTGCTTCAGGACGACCAAAAAATGCTTTAGTTTTGCGAACTATGACTGCAAGACTTTCACCATTTTTGTAGTGAATTTTAATAATTTCAATGCGTTGTTGAAGTGTGTATCGTTCCATTTTTAGTAATGGCGTAGTTTCTACTTGTCAAATGTCAAAAAATAAAAGCTTCAAAAGTGACAGCTACCGAAATACCGGGTGATTCAAAATAACACCTCTTGTTGGAAAACCTTTAGAAATATGATGCGGTAAGTGTACAGATAAAGTATTAAGTTCATAATAGTTTGATAAATGAGGGATAAACCTACACCTAATTTAAGATTCTTTTTGGGAATATTTAATTGAGAAGTATCAAACGAGTTGTAGGTAACGTTGAGTTATTTTTGGCACAACAAAACAGTTAATTTTAATTAGTATAACTTTATGAACGTGATGAAATTATTATATTTGACTGTTTAGTAATGTGCGATGACTGGCGACTTAAACCTTCGACTGAAATAGAAGTTGATTTCACTGCAAATTTGAGAATATTGCATATTTGTTTTCTGTGACGAACTTAAATGTGCTGCCATTGTCAAGTAAAGCACGGACAGTAAGTTTTTTATCATTGCAGTCTAAGATGTCTACGAGTGCCGTAGACAATAAATACACAGCTATTATGTGTGAAAGAGAGGGTAATATCATGAGGTGTCGGTACCTCTGTCTTCCTAGAACCCTGTGTGGCTAGCACCATGCGATTGTCCTGCGATGCATGGCTGTAAGCTGTTGTGAAGATGAAGGTTCATCTGCATGTAATAGTGTATTATGCAATTTGGAGCAGACTGCAAGAACCAAACTGACCACCCTGAGCCGTTGTCCCTGTCGCAAACAAGTCATGCAAAGTCTTAGACGTTTCACTTCAGCTATTTTTGCTGTGACAAATAAAGCCTTGAACTGTGGACACTGGTTGAGAGGATGTATCGTACATCGCACATCGTATGAATATTGATTAAAACCCGATTATCAGTGCTAATATGTAACGTTGTTAGTGATCTAAGGTTTGTATTAATTATATCAATGAGGTTCCTCAATGCCAGGGGGGACAATATGATCAACATCAAACTAACATTGAACATGATTGTTAATAAGAAATATCTTTATTGTGAAAACGTTCACATAATAATGACCATCAGTATCATAATTACTCTCAGAAAAATCCAATGATTAAATTTAATTGCATTTGCAGCTTTATGCCTTAAAGCTGAACATCATCATCATCATCATCATCACATCAACAGCCTATACTAGTCCACTGCTGGACATAGGCCTCTCCTTAGAAAGGAGGTTCTGGCCTACTATACCACGCTGGCCAGACGGGTTGGTATAGGGTTTTTTTCAAGTTTTCCTTCTCTTTGCAGTGCTGTTGTCCTGCTTAGTTTGCTCCCTTAGTCGGCTCTTACGACACCCACGGGATGAATTGGGGTGGTGACAATTTGTATTCTTAATCCGTCACCACACGGACAAGCTGAACACAGATAATGAAATTTGCTAATTTTTGCCCTATTAAAATTTTACCTCAACGCCTTTCAATTAACTCTCCCCGATCAAAGCTACCTAGTAAGGTGGGGAAAAGCTACAGAAAAGGCTTGTACGGCGTGCAGTGCGGAAATAGGTACAGCCAGGCACTTACTGACAAACCTGTCAAACCCCATTCTAAAAGCGCCTTACAACTGTAAGGCGCTTTTAGAATAGGGTCATTGTTCACGTTGCCATGATAAGGTATTACAAACAAAATACGCGAAGCTATGGGTTTATCACTGGCGAGAGCGAAAAAAGGAATAACAACAAACTTATGAACTAACATCGAGTTTGTAAAGGAAGGCTCAACAAAAAAGATTTCACAAAAGCCGTACTCCGTACGTATATTATATTAATACCGCCAGTGACTGGACATTATTAGTGAACACGTATAAAAATCATTACAGAATACCGGAGGATATCTGTGCCTCGGCGTCCAGACCAGACATATTTCTTTATGCAATTTCAATAAAGTACTACACGTACTAGTAGAACTCACGGTGCCGCGAGAAACGAACATCCCTAAAGACGACGCTTTAAAAAGAAACACGTACTTGGAATTAATCAATAAAAGAACTAAAAATGGTTATTTCGTTGCGTTGTATGCCGTGGAAGTGGGTGCGAGGGTTATAGGGGAGAGTGGGGAATCACGGACGCGGGGTAATCGCGGATACGTTCGTTTGGCTATGTTAGAAATGGATAGAAGATATTCCGAGTAATGCAATCGTGAGTCGATCCCGAACGTAGTGCCGAACAAAAAGTGGTGAAGCAACAACGCACTCGGTGTAAAAGGTATGTTAACTTTTTGTTTTTTCAACAATTTCATATAATTTTTGAGTAAAATTCAATAGATATATAATATTTTAGGTGTAACATAGAAATTCGGTATTTTTTTAAAAATTAACGTCCTAATTCAAGAATGTTTCTAAGGACTTGCCGCGTGTATCACGCGATTCTAACCTAAAAAAAAAAAATAGTTTTGTGATAACGTGTCTGTTGGGTAATTACGGACGATTTCAGTGGGGTAACCCCGACCGTTCGTAATTACCCCTGGACAATTAAATTATTGTTTTTAATTTAAAATTTATGTCCAGCAGTCGACTGCATTGCGTTGATGATAATAATGATGAATTTTGATGAAATACATTTAAGGAAGTTTGTTTTTATGTTTCTCTGCTTTCAGCACTGTACCCTCATGAGCTTATTTATACCTACTCAAATATGTTTCAGATGCCACGAAATTACTAAAGAAAGACGGAGACCAAATACAAATTAGAAGACTTAGCAAGAGCCATTCGGGTTGTTAAGAACAAAAACTTTCACTAGGAAAAGCAGCTGCTACTTATTCTATTCCAAAAAGTATTATATACGACCATCTCAAAAAGGAAGTTGTAAAAGAACCAAAAACTGGAAGGAAGCTAAGAAAAAAACTGTAGGCTGTATTTTCTGAAGAACAGGAAAAAGAATTAGAAGAACATATCATAAAATGCTAAGCTGTTTCTTTTTCTTAGCTGTAAGCTAAGAAAAAGAAAACCAAAGAAAGAGATGCGAAAGAAAATGAGTATTTTTGCTTAGTTTGTGATGAAAAATATGAAGATCCTTCACATGATGATTGGATAATGGATATGTGATTTGTGTGATGATTAGATTATGTCCGTGATTACCCCACACACCATTCGTAATTACCCCACGTGTTGTGGGGTAATCCCGAACCCCATAGTTTTGTTTTCTTATTAATATTCGTTTCTGTATTGAAAGTTTATCTATGTTGCTTATCAGAACTTGAGGTTCATTAGTTAAAGTAAATGTTAAGTAATAAATGACATTCGTAACTTAATCTGGTTTTGTTTAATTTCAATTTCCCCTTAAGTGTTCGTAATTACCCCACTCCCCCCTACTAGCTATATACCTCTATAACCTGCTTTATTGCCTTTATTGCCAATATCTTGAGTAAGCTTGTTTCTAGAACGATTCACTGTGGATTTAAACAAATTCAATTCACTTAATCGTAAAGTAGAAGAAGTTGAAGAAGAAAAGGAAGTTGTGTAACACCTGTATGCTACTGATCAGTTATGTCCTAGATCTATATAATGCTGCATAACCTTTATTATTATACCATTCATTGTTGTGGGCATTATGTCTATAACCCGACACAAACACTTAATAAATATCTTGAAAGAATACAACTAAAGATCAATACTTAATTACCTATATTATTAAAAGAGTTATCCTCTAACTCCTAAAAGTCAAGGACCCGTCACCTCAGCAACATGAGGTATATTTATAGCTCTAGCTCGGGAGAAAAAGTTAAAACACGTTTTCAGGCCCATAAAAGACACCGTTCGACAATGGGACCACTTCGGGAGTAGGAAGAATACCCTATGATTATAAAAATATTTTTGAAAAGTCGAATTGAGAACCTCCTCTTTTTTGAAAACGGTTAAAAATGGAGAGATACAATTGAGTAGTTGACACTTCAGTCAAATCAGTTACTTTAGCGCTGCATTAGTGGGTTCGATTCCCGGACCGATTTTAAACGGTTTTTCTGAGAATAAAAATAACCTAAGTTACTCCTTCTATAGACAGCTACCTGGTAGTGAAGTAATATCAAAATCGGTCCAGCGATTTTGAAGATTATTCGGAACAAACAGACAGACAGACAAAAAAATAAACTGGCATTTGGCATTTTAGGCATAGATGTCATGCAAATAACCGTGTGAGCATGAAAAAAACTATTATTTTAACATTACAAACAGACACTTCAATTTTATTTATTTGTATAGATATAGTCAACTACCCTCGCATTGACAACAACATTTACAACATGATGACGGTTGTATATAAATGTAATGTAAGTATATTAGATAACTCAGCTTCCAATTGTATAACACTAGAGATCAAATGAAAGACGCAGATATCATCAGGCACATTAAGCACATGCAACAAACATTGTTGGCGATTCTTTCGTGAATTTAACGTTTACTGTTAGTTACTTAATAACAGAGTGGCCATTAAGTAATACATTTATATGTAGCATTACTCAACTTCGGCTAGTGGGTTATTTCATTGTCGCTGAGGTAATCAAAAATATAAAACATTATTTAAAAATGAGGTTCTTAAATTTTTACTTGTTTTGTGTGTGTGTCTTCCTCCATATCTTCGTAATCTGTGAACCGATCTCCATAATTATATTTTTAATTAAATCAAACTCAAAGGTTGAAGAATACATGATCCAGGTGCACTGCAATACTTTATATTTAAAGTTCAAAATAATGAAAAAACAAAATCCGATCAAATTGTTTGCGCTGCTTTGGACGACATGGCACACGTTTTTATAAAATCTGCCTTGATTTGAAGTTAACTTATAATCACTTAGTTACGCTATAATTCAGATACTGTTAGAGATAAGGATTGCAGTGCGGACAAGGTACTGCCAATGTAGGCTCGCTCCATATCGATAGAGGACAAGGGAGCAATAGTCGTAATTTGGCGGGTCACAAAGACCTGCGCTATTGTATGCTAATGGTGGCCGTGCGAGCGAGCGTACACTACTGCGGGCTCTGCGTGGTGCACGGGTGCCTCGCGCCTTGTCGTGAGTGACAGCGAACCGAGGCATAGCACAGTACCGGCGCGGCGCTCGGTGCCACCCGTGCCGTGCCACATAGCACAGTGCGCGCGCCACCGTTCTACCGTGAGCACGTCCCATCGCGCAACGCGTCTTGAGCCTACACCGTTTGTTTACCTTCCGTCAGAGTTTCCACTTAGTAGCCTTCCGCGTAGTCTGTGATGTGCAACTAGTGTGCCTACATGTGTCGAGCAACCAGTGAAATGTCGTGACCGAGACTCCTGACGCTACAGCCAGAGTGGCACGAGGAGTTACATCACTTGCAGCTACCGTACAGCATGTACAGAGAGTGCCAGCTATATCCCAACGAGAGCCGGCCAGTGACACCTTTACTTTAATTGTAAGTAGGCACGTAATTATCAAGCTGCCCGTGTAACTGGCGCTTGGCCCCGATGCGGGTCCGTGTCCGCCACGCTCCAGGCGCTCTGATTCCCACGTCGACCCAGAACGCTTCTATTATTGTTGTAAAAATGAGAAGCGATTTGTTACTTTTTCTAGAACTAAAACAGTCAAACATTCATAGTGCATGTAAATCAAGGAATAAACCTGTCTACACACATTAAAATATTATGATACAAACATTCATTCTACTTTACCTCACACGCGAGCCGAATGTACACTCGACACATAAGTAGGTAATTAGAGATAGCCATCGGTACGACAGCCCAGGACGCGGTGACGACACCACTGCACTGGCTGTAACGCTGTAGCCGCGTATCTACCTACATCGGTGATCATCACCACTAGACACTCGACGCGGTGCGGTTACGTCTGGCTTGTAGTTGTCACTGCGTATGGCATTGACTGCCGTCTCTAAACTATGTACTTACAAGACAATGGGAAAAGAGTTGAAGTTCATACCGTACCGTGTTGGTGATGAGATAATAGACCGAGTCTGTATGTACTACCCATGTATGTATTGTAAGTGTAATCGAACATTATGACAACTGAAGCTCCTTTACACCGTTCAATCCCAGAAGATGCATTGGCCAGATCCTGGATGAGTATCGTTAAATTCGGTGAGAGATTTCTTAATCTATAGGATACCCCCTTAAATGTAGAAAAATATTTACCAACACTATTTCCCAACTTTTGTGACCGTTTAAAAAGATTTAATAAAGATCAAAACCAAAAAGTCGCAAAACGAGCATTCGAAATGACAATCGCATTCACAATCGCACAAAGGAAGCCTATTTGCTCGCAAATGACGAAATTGGCATCGGCTACCTATGTATACTTTTCTAATGTTCTAAGTTTGCCCGATTCTGGGTGTTTGGCAACAATTTTGTTTGTTTTTTATTTTCCAGTGAAGAATATTTGTTATTTTTTAAATAAGTGATAATTTATCTATAAATAAACACACCTATTTTGACTTGTGGTTAAATGCTTTCGATTATGCATCCCTTCCTTCATCTCGTTCATTGCCTCATCTTCCCTTTATTGCAAAGACTCTTTTTCACCAAGACAGGTGTGAGGAACCAAGATAGTCTATGTTTAAATTAGTGATATTCACTTGTTTTAGAGATTTTCATTTGTTTCTGTGGCATTAATTTTTTTACATAAAAAAATTTCGTTTGATGCACTTTTTTAAGTTTATATAGTCATTAGATCCACCGTGGCTCTGGCCACTGGATCTTCTCGTATTGAACGTCTTATACATATAATTAGCAAATTCAAAAGTATTTCTAATTGTAATTGTTTCGCATGCTTACCTTTTTATATATAATTTCTCATCTATAGGTACTGAGTCATGTTGATTACAGTTATGCACCCTTGTGTTGGCAAGTAAGCAAATATCTTAACACTTTAACAAAATGTAGGAACATACTCTACTTGTACTGTCTTTCTAGTACTCTAGTTATCTGGCTTGCAAGTCTAGTTTTTACCATTCCAGGTTTTTGACTTAATATTAATTTGAATGTTAATTCATAAATATATTTTTCCAATTTGTACCAAGTATCTAATCACTCAACATCCGTGAAATGTAAATAATTGCACAGCTATTTATGTTTACATTTTTCCACTATCTGTACAGGTTCCATAAAGGAGTTACTACTAAAAGCATGAAAATAACACAAATATTAAGAATAAAATGAACTTGAAGAAACAAAAGAACCCAAAAGTAACTTGTTACAAATTTGCAACCATTATACCATTATCAAAATACGATAAAATACGAGCTGTACCCTGTCACGCTATGCTGTGGCACAATAAGGAACAAAAAGGACGCAAAAAATATATAACAACAATTTTTGAATAGGTTCATATATCATGTACTAGTTTTGCCCGCGGCCCCGCCCACGTACCTGTCGGTTATCGCGGTAAAAAGCCTATGTATATATGAGTGTATGTATGTATGTATATAATAGCCTATGTTCTTTCTCCAGAATCACAATATCTCCATACCAAATTTCATCTGAATCGGTTCAGCGGTTATTGATTCCCCATACAAACTTCTAACTCCCTTTATACACCCTTTAAGGATGTTTTGTGGGAAAAAACGATGTCCTTGCCCGCTAGGAGCCAGGAGCTCGTTTTGATTGTTAAAGGAATAATGAATTCTTTATGCTAGCTTGTACATTTCCTACTTACCTAATTCATACTTACTACGCGGCTGTACATATATTACGTTGTATTTACCTCGCATGCTCACAAAATTAGCGATTTCATTACCTTATTTTGGCGACGGGATCCCAAAACACCATATCTTCACAAGGCGATATCACATTCTGACACAAGAAAATGACCGAGGTCAATCTGGCATAAACGAAGTCCGAATTTACACGGACGGTTCCAAGACTGGGTCAGGAACTGGAGCCGGAGTTTTCTCACAAGACCTAAACATGAACATATCACTAGCATTAGGCCTACATAGTTCCATATTCCAATGCGAATGTGTGACAATGACTTAAGCCGCCACAACGGCCATGTCAAAGGGTATTAAGGACTACAACATCCGTATACCTACTGTCAGACAGCATGGCCGTCCTAAAGGTACTGGAGGGCAACACAATGACCTCTGGTAAAGTCTTCGAATGCCATCAAGCATTGGAGCAGCTTGCCACAACAAATGGGGTGCTCCTCCAATGGATTAAAGGGCATAGTTATTCACACGGGTATGACACTGCAGATGAGTTGGCAAGGAGGGCTCGGCAACCCCGGCCGCCGGCCCAACCACAATCCTGCCACTGCCTTTTAACTTCGATCTTGGGTTAGACAGCGTACTCGTGAAGCGCACAACCGAAGGTGGAAAAATTCACCCGGCTGCAGACAGTCCAAACTTCTGCTGACTGAAGTCTCACCACGACTTACTTGCAGACTGATCGGTCTTAGTAGACTAGATATCCGAATAGTTGTAGGAACCATAACAGGACACCTAGCCCTGAACCGACAACTATACATTCATCATTAATGCGACGGACAGTCCTCTTTGCAGAGGATGCCTGAAAGCAGAAGAAACGTTTGGCCCACGTAATCCTGGAATGCGAGGGCATCACAAAGGGCAAGTACCATACCTGGTACAAAATCGCTCCTAGGAGCCTGTGAACGCCTGCGCTTCTGGATGGAGCTTGGTTGGCTCACCTAGCCAACCTCTTCTAGACGCGTAAAGGACCACCCTCAAGTCTAAATGCGGAAATCGGAGCTCACAACCAATACCGAAATACCTTATTTCGGCTGCCTTCGTCAAGGAGAAAACAATGGATATAAATATAATATAATAATAATAATTTATCAGCTAAATCAACAAGTCACGTGAACCACTGCATTATGTTTCTTTTTTATAAAATTGGATTTTCAACTGACTTAATGTTTGAGTGCATCTACTTCTTTCTTTCTGTATGACACAAAGGTTGGCTGGTAGAGAATGCCTAAAACATTAAATCCGCCTGTGTTCTAGATCACCATCAAGTTTACATAACAAAAAATGTAAACAATAAATAAGTAGCGTCAATTCAATTTCATTAGTCTCTGCGTCACGGGCAGAAAATAATAATATTAAATTATTGTAATATCTCTCGATGTCAAGTATAAGAATCATTTCCAACAATACCCGTATGTTTTCTTACACTTTACACTTTAAATTGGACACGATTTTCCAGCCTCAATAAGTTTTCTCATTTCTTGCTTCCTCGAGAATGGAGTGGAGACGTAGTGAAGTGGACGGAAAATGCTTACATTTGTGCTGTAGGTGAATGAAATAGCATAAATCTAAACGCTATTTTAAGAAAAACTCCAGCAGTATCAATACTGTCTCGAACACAGCTGAATCTCGAATATGCAATAATATATATCTAACTCGAAAATTAAAAATATCAGAGATGTACAATGCCACGCTTCGCTATGGCACATTGTGTTGGCGTTGGTGAGAATTGAGGCACAAAACTGATGCGAAAAGTAGCTTTGGGTTGTATACCTTGTCCAAATTTGAGGTCAATCGGTGCAGAACTTTTTGTGTTTGCGAAGCGAGCACCAACCATCTGAACATTTTATAAAATATAGATATTAATCAATTAACTATGTTCAGATACGTGAGCTATTGGTGCAATTATTTTTAGTATGAATCTCAGCTCCATCCACAGCTGATTCAGTGGGGTGTAGCGCGAAATGAAGCAGCAGCCGAAAGATGTTCGACACAGACCAAATTGCACAGATTATTCTTATAACACAGTAAAACGATATAATTTCGTACAATTCTTAGTTTCCGAAGTTTGTGTGAGTGTATGTGTGTGGTGTGTGTTGTGTTTAAGCATTAATAATGTTAAAAACTTGTTAGAGGCCTATACAAGCAACTCAAGTTAAACCTTAGCCTAAAAACTTAATAGTAAAAAATTGTTAAACAATGGAGAGTGTAACTTTCTACTTATTTTATATCGTACTAGTAGTAGAACTTTCGCCAACACACACTCACACACACACACACACATACTACTGGAAGCAATAAAAAATAAAGTATGAAAGTAATTGCTGGCTGTTATCTACTAATGTGCGAGCCTGCACTACTGCTGCCACCGGCGCCGGCGCACGCCACTGCGCCGTAGAGCCGACAGCTGTTTACTTACTCAAATTTTTTCTTTCATGTG